TTGTTGTACTTAAGTATTAATAGTAAAAGTGTTGATTTAAAATGAGCAGTTAGTCATTTATGCATTTTTTGGGGCGGTCACCTCAGAATAAATGTTATTACAGAAAATGTCTTATAAAAATAAATAATGGATGTTAAATTTAGGATGCACTAGTCCAGCTGTTTCAGTTTATATACATATATCAAGGCTGCACAAAGCTTTTCCCCAAAATGAAAATCTATCTGAGGGCTGCGGCCAAATGTAAGAATATAATTCATGAAATACAAATACTTCTTAAGTACAGTCCTTTTATTTGAATGATTCTGTCCTGCTGGAGTGTGACATGATTTGTTTGTATACAAACTAATACGCTATCGGAGTTTTATATATTTATACTTCTCATTCAACCACAGTTAAATTCTCTCTATCTAGGAGGCTCAGTTTATATTGATAGTTTTTATTTATTTTTTATAATAAGCTGGAATGAAAACAGGCAAAAATGAAATAAAAGTAACACCTTTCTACTTCTTGTCTTTTTTTAATGTAAGAAGTAGAAAGTAAAAAGTATGCTGAAAAATAATTACCGATACTCAAGTAAAATACAGATACCCAAAAATTCTACTTAAGTACAGTAAAAGTATTTGTACTTAGTTACTTTAAAACTCTGGTTTTTGTACATTATTGTGGGTTAAATTTTCTTTAAATGAAGCTTTTGTACATTCCTGTGGATAAAACCCTTTTTACGTAACGTTTTTGTACGTTCCTGTGGATTGAATGTTCTTTACGTTAAGTTTCTGTGTGGGCGTCCAGCTGTTCGTCTCGGTGCACATGAGCGCTCATGGACAGCCTGTGATGGAAACTATCGGGTGGTTTGTGGGCCGGCAGAGGCCCAGGTGACGAGAGAGACGACAAACAGGAACACGAAGGCTCAAAAGGTTTGTTAGAAACAGATTACAAGAAGTATTTCATACAACTTACTGACTTATTGTTGATTTAATAAATATTTAACCTGTGATTAAATCTCATTGTTGTGTTTGGATGAAATTTAACCTCTCTGGATCTAATGTTCCACGAGTGACTGGAACAGTTTCAGTGGAGCTGAAGGCTCCTACATGTTTTCAGTTTCAATTTTTATACTTTTAGTTCATGATTCTGTGTTTGGATCAGCTTCATGGAAAGTTTGTTGGTTCTCTATTTACACGTCAGCTGTTAGACAAACAAAAACTGACATTTGAATTTCAAAATAAAAGTTCATAACTGAAAAAAAAACAACACTTATTTTTGTCAATCATAATATATTGAACTTACAGCAAAGACCTTTCAGATTGATCACTTCTGTACTTTTATTGCTCATCTGGATTTTCATTTCAGATGTTTTTAATTCAAGAGTTAAAGTTGTAATTTATATTTGAGGATTAATTGTCTTTTAAATGTTTCTGATCCAATAAAAATATTTTTAACCACATAGTGTGAAACCACATTTCATATTTAAAACACGGTCAGATCAACGTGTCTGATGTTTTCATCTGTAACAAAGCAGAAAGGCCGAACCGTGAAGCAGGAAGTAGTCCGACGGCGTTCGCTTCAGGGCGGTTCTGGCCTTCTCGGTGGTCCAGTCCACCTCCAGCGCCTCCTTCAGAGTGCAGAAACTGGCCGTCTGTCAACGAACCCGTTTTAGAAAATAAAAGAAACGCTGTTAAAGTTACAGATTAGGAGGAGGGAAATGTGTTTAGTGATGATTTTGTTTGATCAGATGAGTCAGACCGGCTCCAAGACCACCTACCTTTTTCACCATGGTGGTCTCGTTGGGATCGATTTTAGCTTTCTTTGCCTCCGGACCATCATTAGAGTCACCCGAAGGCTTCACTACTTTAGGTTTTTCTCTAAACAATAAAAAAACAACATTATTCCTGCAAAACGTGACAGAGTTCACCTTCAGGTCAGAACTCACTCGACGTAGTGGTGCTCCTTTCCGAGGTCGCAGAACATGTAACCATAGTAACCATAGACGTCGCCACAGAAGACCTTGATGTTGTGCTGAGAGCAGAGCTGGTCCACTCGAACCATCAAGTCCCTGGAGCAACCTGTCAGACAAACCTGAGGGAGGAAAAAACCCATAAAGCTAAAACAGGTGATTACAGGAAAAAAAAGGAGCAAAATCTTTAAAACTTTATATCAGGATTCCTGCAGGTTTCAGTAAGTTCAATTTAAGACCTTTTCAAGACCCTTTAACACCATCAGGAATGACATTTAAGACCAAAGCAACACATTAACAAAAACATTCAAATGGTCCCAGAAATTTTAACATAGAAACCTTTTATTGAGATCAATTTAGCACATAAATTGCCATTTTTTGCCTGCAGTTATCACAGGATTTGTAGTTTAACTGTGTATCAAGGCTGGTAGCAAACTGAGCCCTTCAAAAAGTCTGTGAAGACAGATCTGATCAACCTGTAATTACTGTGCTTTACTCTGTTTATTTATGCAGCCAATGTTTCTCTGGAATGATCAAAAGTAAAAAAATTAAGATTTGACAAAATTTAATTTAAGACCCTGGATGAAAATCTGTGTGTTTTTAAGACTTTTTTAGGCCTAAAATTTAGATTTTCAAATTTTAGACTTTTTAAGACATTGCATGAACGCTGTTAGATTAAATGAATCAAAAACTACAATTTAAAGAAGCTAAAAGTACAATTTAAACATGCAGTAAACCAGCAGATAAGATATATAAGGTTTGTTTTACCTAAGAATGAAACAAACTTTATTTTAAATTGTATTTAAAACAACAAAATACAGTATTGTAAAAGTAAACAATAAGATAAAAACACAAATGTACTGATTAACAAGGTCTGAGCTAAATAAGCAATAATTTAAAATACTTCTCTCTGATAAAAAAACTTTATTCTTTTATTTCCTGACGAGACACGAGGAGGGTCTGACGATCTGTTGTAAACAAAAAAACTAAAATGATCATTCACCACAGGTGATTCTTGGAGCAAAAACTAAGATCTACAGCTGGTCGACTCTGGTCTGTTTCCTCTGAGAGGAGAAACAGAATCACTCTTAACAGGTGTTTTTCAGCAGCATTCAGACGTTATAGGACAAATTTAGAATACTCAAAAACACATTTTTTCCCTTTCAGTCATCCCAAACTTTATCATCTCGTCACACGAGGGCAGAAGAAATCAAACATCCCACCTCAGCTCCACAACGTTTTTATAACCCGTTTTCAAGCTGTGAAAAGAATCAGCAGGAAGTCAGCTGTGAGTCCACAGATGGACACTGTTTTGCTTTTGTTTTCTCTCTTTTAACAATTCAATTAGCAAACTCCAACTGCTCCACTTTAAAGTGCCTGTGACACAAAATTTTTAAAGGCATTATTGGAAAGATAACATTAATAACATATCGCAAAAATAATTTCTCGCTGCTGAGATGAACAGTTGTTGAGATATTTGCATTTGAAGTAACAGGAAGTGATGTCAAAGGGGAAAGTCTGCATGGATTAGAGCAATGATAAAATGGCTAAGGACACAGACTGTAGAGAAGAATTTGATGTTTCATTAGATTATTTTGAGTCTCTATTAGAGAGATGAAGAGTCAGAGTTCAAATAATATAATTTCAATAAACAAAGACTAGAGTTCTCTTTCTTAAAGAGTTCCCCTTTGATGTCACTTCCTGTTTTACCTTGGCTGATCCAAGTTCAGAAGAAAATATGACATTTTTGTGACCAAATGGATAAAAATCCAGTTTTATGCAAGTTTTCTTATATAAAAATGTATTTTCTTTGACTTTTTGTATCTGATGGATAGGCATGTCACAGGCACTTTAATCCCCCCATATCTTCCTGCTGAGCCACACACAAGTTTGTATTTCTTTTTTTTCTGCCAATGGAATACCATTGGTAAAGGTACTTTATATGTCATCAGTGAAATCTGTGCTCTGCATTTGAGCGGCTCGCCGTCTGCCTCTGCTTTTTAGTTTTATTTTTTACTATTTTGCCCTATTATCGCTTTTAATCAGTTGGCATGATGTGACTGCTCTTCTGACTTATAATTGCCAAACACTTCTGGACATCAGGCAGCAACATCAGTCTTTTTTATGGAGGTGGAAATCTGCTGGTGCAAACAATTC